CCTCTATATTAATATCATCACTACTGATATTTCTAAACTTAACAAACAAGGCTGCTGGCGTATAGTTTAAAAAGTTATTACATGTCTTTGTTATGCCTTGTAAATTTAATACATTTTTCATGATGTATATTAATCAACCTGTTTTTGATTATTCACTCTTTCACTTTTTTTTTTAATTTTGTATAATGTATAAGAAATCTGATGTCAGTTCACTTATCTTTTGCATCGAGGTCTTGTCCGATTATTGATGATTTTCCATCACCCCATCATTGCCCGTGGCATATTCTCCCCATGTTGTCTGAGGCAGAGGGCATCCTGTCTTTCTCCTTAATATCTCCATATTAGCAGCTGCACTTCATCCCTCCTAATGAAGTCTGGATGTAAAAATTAGTCTGTCCCCTCTGCAGTGTAATCTTTTCTGTGGGTCAACATAAATTAGTCCACTGTCTCTCTAAAAGTCCATAGTTCAGGCTGTTTGACACAAATATTGTCCATCTGTAGTTTAACTGCGTTATACAAACAGTTAGACAGATTGTTATTCAACATTCAACCTTTTTTTTCGCTACACCATTTTACTTTTTGTTTAAAATAGCACATATTAGACTAATGTTCTGGTCCTAGACAAGTATAAAAGATTAAAATCATTATCTAATATTAAATTGTACTTTCAGCTAGTATAATAAGTTACCACAATCTTCTTGTCAGTAAAACATTATAACTTTGAATCATATACAAACATAAACTTACGATGAGTTCTTTTACACAGGGAATATGTAATTAAAAGGCGGCTGGAAGAATTTTAGTAACTTTAAGAGCTTTTCAAGAAAATACTTTTTCCACTGCAGGTTTAAATATAAAACAATCTAAGGATGGTTTTTTTGTGGTATACTCTTTGGCAATCTGTGAACATAAAGTGCACCGAACCCAGAAAACAACCCCTCAAAAAGCACTGGAGATATTTTGTTAAGAAGGAATCTCGGCCCCTCATTGCAGCCGCGGCTGTGGGGTTGGTCTATCAGAGGCTCTCCACGAGTGAACCGGAAACAGGATTACAGACAGCAGCGCTTAACAAACGGGCTCGCTTCTCCATGAAGTTCTCCCCGAATCACAGCTGATTTATGCAACTCGATAATGCCTCCATCATCACATCATACGTTTGTAAATGAGGAGTCATCCGTTGTTCCAGCCATATAAAGATATTCAATTCAATTCCATTCAGTTTATTTATATAGCACCAATTCACAACACAAGTCATCTTAAGGCACTTAATAGTTCAACCAGATCATACAGTCAAATTGAATCAAAGTTTTCTATCTAAGAAAAAACTGTTGATTGCATTGACTCAAAGGCAATCCCTCACACTAAGCATGTACCGACAGCGGAGAGGAAAAACTTCCTTTTAACAGGAAGAAACCTCCAGCAGAACCAGGCTCAGTGTGGCAGAGGCTGACTGGGGTTCAAGGAGAAAGAAGCAGACATAGAAAAGCAGCTGTAAAAGGCAGCCCCATCCAGGAAACACACAGCCAGGCAGACGAGCTCCGAGCCAGCTCCCATGTCAGAAGATGAAGAGAGCACATCCAGCCAGTCACGGTCAGAGAAACAGGACCACACTGGAAAACAGGCAGATCTCCAACATCTATAAACAAAGGTGTTGATGGCAGCAGCACAGCTGATATTTCTCTCCAGGATGGAGTCACAGCCAAATAGGAACAGACCAGATGAAGCTGCTATGAGAAAAAGCAGAGAGCAGAACGTTAGAGATTGAACAAACAGATTCTGCAGATTGGGAGAATAGAGACAGAATGAAGCAGACTGATGAAAAAGGGTCCCTATGTCCTCCAGAAGTCTAAGCCTATAGCAGCATAACTATAGAGATAGCTCAGGATAACCTGAGCCACTCTAACTATAAGCTTGATCGCAAAGGAAAGTTTTAAGCCTAGCCTTAAAAGTAGACAGGGTGTCTGCCACACGGACTAAGCATATTATTCAGTGTCACAGATCAAAGAACTCGCTGCTAAGAAATATCCACATTACTAAATCTCTGTCATGTACATAAAGAAAATGGTAACTGTATATCCTGACATAGGAACTGTTCTAATTAGATAAACTACTTGAGAAAAGATGAGTTTAGACATGTCACAGCTATTCAATATTAGGGTTTAACAGACTCACACACCATCAATAACAATAATCCTAATAGACTGAAAGGAAGTTAAAATAGGAGTAATATGATCTCTTTAAATTTAATCAGAATTCAGGCTGAAGTGTACTCTATTAGCCAAAGACTGGTATCTACCTTTAGGACACTTCCTTATAGTAAGTAGTACAATAGTCCAGCCTTGAAATAGGAAATCCATGGAATTCCATACTGACCATACTTTACCATTACCATTACTTTACCATACTGACATGAAAGCAAGAGTTTAAGAAAACTTTATACCGGTAATATGTAATTTAAATGACAAATCCTATCCATTCAGTAACTTTAGATGCCTTGTTAGGGTGACAGTTTCACCAAAGAGTAACCGTCACTTATTTATATGACTTTACAATAGATGTCAAGCCTGCTTCTGCTTCACGGATCTTTGTTGCTATAATCTGTTGTTTCATTGGAACAACATATTTTCATTTTAGCAAAGAGAAACTAAAAGTATTTAAATATGCTTTACGTGACTGCATTATCTGGTTTGTATGCAGGGTCAGAGGCTGGTGCTTTCATTCAGAGCCAGTGTACTGAAACAGGCTGTTCTGGTTGGTGTCAACTGTTTGTTCTATTCCAGCTATTTAGGTTACATACCATGACTCCTCCATCAATCTAAAACTCACTCATTTATGACAATTTGTAGAACAAGGACTTGTTTACATTATGTGAGATGGTTTTCTGCTTGTGTTGTAATGTGTATTTACTTTTGTAGTTGTAAAAGTACAATTTTGTCATATTTCTATTCAATTTCATTTACTGGATTATTGGATTTAATGGGTGATTAAGTAAGTAAGTAAGTAAACTTTATTTGTATAGCACTTTTCACAGACAAAGTCACAAAGTGCTTCACATGATAACATAAAAACAACACAAGTAAAAACAGATAAAATGCAATAAAAGCTATAATAAATAAGGGAATAAAACAACAGGCTATGTGCTTTGGAAGGCTAGTGAAAACAGGTGTGTTTTTAGCTGCTTTTTAAAGATGTCCACCAAGTCCAGAGAGCGCAGGGACAGGGGGAGTTCATTCCAAAGACGGGGTGCCACCGCTTTAAAGCACCGGTCTCCTCGGGTTTTAAAACGGGTCCGAGGAACCATAAGCAGGTTTTGACCTGAAGACCGTAGGCTACGGACCGACGTATACGGCTGGATCAGACCTGTCATGTAGCCAGGCGCCTGTCCATGAAGGGCCCTGATTAAACCAGTTTACATCTCATAGAAAAAACTGTTCACTGTTCTTCACCTAAGTGTGCATTGGTCTGTAGCAATTATCCTTGCAAATACAACAAAACCAAAAGTATTTGTTTCTCAGTGTTAGGTTACAAAAATGTAGGTTTGTAAAAGAGAAACTGAGTCTACACAGGAAAGAGATTCTAGCAACTTCTGCAGTAGTGGAAAAAAAGCCCAACTCAACTTCAGGCTTTTTTCCTCCAAATCTCCTCCTGCAGCCGTCTTTTATTAACAGAATATAACACATGGTTACAAAACAGTATTGTTGTGACAGAACAATTGATCAGTTCATAAAGACAAGATGCTCCACCAGAATCACAAGGCAGGATGGTCTCCTGACTGAATCACAAGACACAGTAGAGCATCCCCTTGCTCAAATGTTTCATAAGCATACATACATTAATTTTATAATCATAATTGAGTAAACCTAACACCCAGGACAAATATTTTCCAGATACTGGGGAAAACTGTACTGCATCTGCAGAGGAGCAGTCAATGCCTCCTTGTTGGTGAATGAGTTTTAATTTTCACATCTATGCATTATAACAGTATGAGGAACAGCCAGAAGAGTTGTTTAAGTTTATATTTTAGCCAAGCAAACTGGACCACTTCATATTAATCAAAGTAGCTGCAATAAGTTAAAGTAGAAGAAGAATGATCCAGTTAAATAAAGTATGCTCCCACTAATCTCACTGAACAGAGTTTTGAGGAATATCAGCACACTTGCAGACAATAATGTTCTACTTGTACAAGTAAAATTTTAATTGTAGTTTTATTAGGTTTTTCATTTTCCTGGAGACAGTGAAAAATTTAAAAGGAAAAGTCTGGTCAGCAAGGAATAATCAATAAATATTTTTTATATCTAAGACTAATATGTTAGCAGTTATTTAATGAATTTAATGTTAATGTGGTTAATACTCAGAAACCAGGTTGTGGCATGGCAGACAATCTGCATTTACAAAACTTTCTGGATGGTCCCATCTTCAATCTGTCCTGTATTCCTAAAATTCTGGAGAAAGTAGCTGCCTCACAACTTTACTTTAACCTAACCCACTATAGACTACATGAAAAATTCCAGTCTGGTGTCTGCCCTGGCCACACCACTGAATCTGCACTCTTAAAAATTACAAATGACCTCTTTATTGCAGCAGAATCTGGTCTCCTCTGGTAAGTTAGAATGCTTCATGATGTCACACTTCTAACATGTATCTATACATATTTCTCTGGAATGTGTTTTAATCTAAACCTTCAGCCAGAAAAATTAAAAAGTAGTCCAAGTGTTTATGGATTAATTTAATTAATTTAATGATTCAAACAAATATATCCACAGGATTACATGTAGAAGAATGTAAAAAATAACAACATAAGATAAAAATACAAAGCTCCTTCAGTTTAGTCAGATTTTAACAAGTTTTAGGAATATTAGTGTTCTAGAGATGTGCAGTATCAAATATAGAAGAAACAAAATTAAGATATAATTTATTCCAAAGATTTACTGGTTGATAGTGAAGAAAAACATTAATTTCTCCCATTAAACTTTCCCCTTTCCATACATTGATATAAGCAGTTTAACTTTTAAAGTACAGTAAATATTAATGCACAAACTCAATTTCTTTATCAACATAGATATATGCCGTATAAAACCCCCCAAAACCATAAGCTATACCATTAGTAGAGGTGCTGCTACTAAAACAAAACTAAAACTAAATGTAATTATTAGGGATGTCCTTTAATTAGCACAATAATCCAGCAGCATACTGTGCTCAAATGATGTAATAAAATAGTTGGCATTAGTATTTTACATTTGCACATTTCCTTCTTAATATTTTGGATAAATCAAAACCTAAATATACTGAAATCAACATTGTTTTCTTCCACTTTCAAAACACAAAAGTTACTTTTTTCTTGTGTAGACAAGATTTATGTTTGCAATATAAATAGGGTATGAGTTAGTTGATTAGTCCTTCAAAACCTGCCATAGTGCTCATTGTCCGCTACCTACTATTATCAAATAGTCTTTTCTTTTTTCTAGCAGTACTTTGTCTTTATTAATTGTTAAAACACTCTCAAAGATTAAGCCATTCCCCTTGGGATCCGGCACCATCATGCATATCAAAAACAGTCTAAAGCAGTTTTTCAATATCAGCCCTGGAGGTGTGGCATTCTATCCCTTTTAGAAATATCTTTACTTCAAAACACTGTATATTCAAATAATCAAGTCCTTAATAAAACTCCTACTACTGATCAGGCAGTTGAGCCATTTGATTTGGATGTGTTGAAACAGAGACACATCTAAAAAGTACAGGACATTAGACTGCAAAGACTGGATTTGAAGAAACCTGGCTTTTAACACTGTAACACCGTTTGAATTTTTTTGCCGGCTGATTTGACTTTTCCCCACACATACTGGATCTTGATTCTGGTCCGTTCATCACCTTTGTTTTTCATCTCCTCCAGTTTTTGAATCTTGTTTGCCTCTCCTATTTCCTTTAGTTTTTCAATGAGAAACTCATAGTTAACAAATGTGGAGACAGAAGTAACATTCAAGGCAATCCTTTCCAGTTTTTTGACATGTTGATAGCACTCATCCAGCAGCTGTGACTTCTCTGTGCGAAGCTTTTTCATGTCTTTGTCAAGGTGTCCTAAAAAATTCAAACCTTGTTCTCGTATTGATCTTCTTCTAATCTCATCCAGACTTTTCCGAACTTTCTTTGTCTTGTTCACATATCTCCACTTCCCTTTCACATGAGCCGACACTGGGCACTTTAAAGTACAAACAGTGCAGTAGCCATCTTTCATCACCTCACAGTCCTCAGGGCTTTTAGAACTTGAACATCCAGGATAGTGGCAGTTCTCCTCACAGATGGTACAGCAAACTGCTCCTTTGACTAAAACCATCAGCCACATCTCTCCTTCAATATCTTCTTTGTCTTTGTAGGCCTCATTATATTCTACAGTGACCGTGTCATCTTTTGTCATGTTTTCGTCATAGTTCTTCAGAGCGTCTTGGATCTGTTTAATCTCTTTTTGTTTCAGCTCAGACAGTTTGATCTTTTCTTCCAGGTTTTGGATGCAGGCGGACAGTCTGATACGTTCATTGAGAACTTCCAAGGTCATTTCTAGTTTTTGAGGCTCAGTGTTACGCAGAAAGGCAGTAAAGCCACTCAGTCCTCTTATTGCTATTTTGTCAGCGTTTTCATAGACTTTTGGTTCCCCTGTTCTCTCCTCATGTTGGCAGTTGTTAAACAGGAAGTAAACTGGCTGTTTCTTTTCATCTTTTGCACACTTAATATTTGCAGCTTCAAGAGCCTTAAGCACATCATTTGGTTTTCTTCCAGTGGAGTGGGTAACCAGGGCTACAATGTTTTTCTCTATGTCTCTTCCAAACAGAGACATCACTGAATTGAAGATGTACTTCAGTCGGTCACTGAGACGGTTAACACTTGACTTCAGCACCAAACCCACGGCATCAAGCTTGTGAATGCCATCGCTTGATCGAAACAAGTCAAATAATCTCTCACAGACAATGACATCACGATCATAACCTCTGGTGTCTCCAAAGCCAGGCGTATCGATGATGGTCAGAGAGAAGGGAAGGTTTTTACCTTCAAAACCAAAGACCTCATATACAGTAACATCTGATGTCTGACTCTCTACCTGATTTCTATTCTCGTCTTCTACAATCTGAAAGCAAACTTTATCCTCAAACTTCACTCCCATGGCATAGTTGACCATAGCATTGATCAGAGTAGATTTTCCAGCTCCTGTTTCACCAACAAGTAAGATGTTTTTATTTGGTTTGTTTTGTTTCTTTTTGCCAAAAGTCATTCTAGACACAGTCCCCGAGGTTATTTTTCTTGTTTTAAGCTGGTAGACAGCAGGGGGTCCTGGTTTGAGGGCAACACTGTTGGATTTTATATATTGTAGAGAAGTGTTGTCAAACCTGTACAAAGAGCAGAGAAATTTGGGTTTATTTAAATAAGATAAACATTTAAAGTTTAGTCAGAAACTGCAGTAAGAATATACCCCCAGTCTTAACATTTTTTATTTTACTGTTCTTTATGCTGCCCAACTGTGGAGTGAGCTAATAATATTTATATAGAACATCACCTGGTTACAGAACAACAATTCTTATGTTAACAAGGTAGTTGGACCCAAGATCTATTTTATCTCTGACAGCGAGTAAAGGGTTGGTGAATTCTAGAATATTTCCTTTAAAATAAACGCAATGATTTCATCAATTATAAACATGTGGCCCATTGAAACGAGAATATGCCTTTCTTATAGGGGTGTAAATCACATCCATCATGGCAATTCGATTCAGTATCGATTTCCTTACCTACCGATTCGATTATTTTCAATACTCAAGAATACATCACGATGTGATTCGATTCGATTAATTGGTTGTTTTTTTCCTTCACCTTACAGGCTAGACAATGTTTCAAATTTGAAATTATTCAATGACAGCTGTAATATCGTTATTTTCGCTTTTTTTTTAGTACTACAGCAAATAAAAGAAGTAGAAGAGTTGCACTCCACCTATTCCAATTAAAACCTTATTCACTGAAAAATAATAATACCCCTGCATTATAGATTCTTAAAGGCCTTGCATCAAAAAATACTGCCTTTTCCCTCCTGGATCCCAGTTTTTTTTTTGCCCTCATGTTCCTCCGTCATCGGACTAAACTCGCCCCCTCTTCCTCTCCGCCTTGGCCGAATCTAGACCCACAGCGTGTAGCACAGACCACGCTTCAATACTGAGCATAAATCAAAAATGTAGGTAGGAGGGCAAAACAGGTTTAGCGCTACCGCAGCACGGGAGGGAGAATTACGCCCAGGAGCAAATGGATAAAAATAGACCGGAGGAAAAAAACATGAATCGATACTCTTGCGGACGTATCGATTCATCGGATCGTCGGCTGTTGGATCGATGCATCGATACAAAAAGATTATTATTTACACCCCTACTTTCTTATTGTAAATATTTTATTATTAATCATAATCATAATACAGTTTTCTCTTTTGTTTAAAACACCAATAAACATGTTAAATAGAGAGTAGTTATCTGAGCCAAGTTATTTATCAATTAGTAAGGATCTGGTTTTCACTATGTGTCCATATAAAGAAATCCTTGTAACATAAAACCTTAAATATTGATTGGACTTACTTGCACTCAATGACTGATTTGGCTCCTCCATCCATTTGGGCATCTATCATTTCTAGTGCATGCAGCTTCTCTTTATCTCCCCTTTCCTTAATCTTCTTAATCAGGTAGTCCAAATTGATGTACGTGGAAACCGAGTTCACTTTAAGGAGAGTTGGATCCAGTTTGACCGCAAGATCATAAGATTTGTCTATCAAACGTCCCTTTTCCCAGTTCAAGCTTTCTATTTTCTTTGCAAGAGTTTCTTTAAATTTTTCCTGCTTCTTTGTATCTGTAATATGCTTTAAGTACTTCTTTTTACATTCCTCTTTGGTTATCTGCGCTTTCCTAGTCTTGGTGACATACTTCCAGTCTACTCTAACATGTTTTGAAACGGGACATTTCTCGCTACAAACAGTGCAAGAGTTTGATTTCATGACCTCACACTTTTCAGGGTTTGGGGCAATCGTACATCCAGGATAGTGACAGTTTTCCTCACAGACGGTGCAGCAGACAGCTGCTTTAAAGAATGCATTCTCACCATCAAGGGGTTCTTTAACTTTGTAGACTTCCTCTACCTCAATAGTGAACTTCTTGTTCATCTTAATCTCTTGTTTGTGTTTCTTCAGAGCCTCTTGAATCTGTTTGATTTCTTTCTGTTTCAATTCAGTTAGTCTGATTCTCTCTTGCATGTTGTGGATGGAGGCTGTTGATCTGATGAACGAGTCAAATGTAACATTTACTTGCAGCTGCTCTGCTGAGATCTTTTGAAGAAAATCTGAGAATTGGCTCATTCCCCTCTCTCCCAATCTCCATGCTTCTTCTAGATCTGAGCTAGTTTCCTTTGTGCGTGCCTCAGTTTGACGGTTATTAAATGTTAAGTAAAAAGGGCCTCTTCCTAAACCCTGAAAAGATGTTTCAGGTTTCGTCCCATCAGAGTATGTAATAAGACCTACAGTTTTTTTATCCAAGTCTTTACCAAACAGACACATCACTGAATCTGAGACATATGACAGCTGGTTTTTCTTTTTGTTTTCTGTTGCTTTCATCACCACACCGACAGCATGAACTTCATGGATCCTTTCCTCTGACCGAAACAAGTCAAACAATCTTTGATTGATGATAGCATCATATTTAAGTCCTACTGTATCTCTATAACCAGGAGTATCGATGATGGTCAGAGAGTAGGGCAGAGTTTTATACTCAAAGATCTCGTACACCATCACATCCGATGTTGAAGTTTCATTCCCTTCCTCAACAATCTTATACCAAACCTTATCCTCCCACTTAAGTCCCATGGCATAATTGAACAGCGCATTGACTAGAGTAGATTTTCCTGCTCCAGTCTCCCCAACAAGCAAGATGGTTTTATTTGGTCTGTTCAGTATTTTTTCACCAATAGTGACTCTGGTCACAGTGCCAAAGTTCCCTTTTTTTGTTTTCTTTTGGTAGATGGCTGGACATCCTGGCTGGACCAGTACACTGTGGAAATAAAGAGAATTTAGACATTGCCATCCATAACAAAACATTACCTTTAGATGAGTTTGAGTCACAATAGGCTATAATTTAAAAGTAGGGTGTGGACTTTAACACATTTATTTTGATAAATTCATTAGACACATTCTAACATGTTAAAAAAATGCAATGAATTGCATTTTCCTGTATACATACTAAAGTCCCAAGCAGGAAACTTTGTGCACCTCAAAATTTGACACACAAGCTGCATCACAGGAGTTTGTCAACTGGTAGTATTCAAGCTTGATTCGAATACCTCAAATCTGTATGGACATCTAAGGAGTGCCATAATAAATGCTATCTGAATTGTGTTGGAAGTTAGGAAGGCACCAAGACCAGGAAAATGTATTATTTGTGTTAGCATCTTGCTAAATGAGAAACAGTGGCCTCAGTTGTGTTTGTTTTAATTGACCTAAATGCTGCACAATCAATCACAATTATTAAGGTATACTGGATGATTTTAGTGAATTTTTTAAAAGACCCACCATTAAAAAAACCACTCTCCATTAAAAAAAAAATGCACATGCACAACACAGTACCCGCTCTTGAGCAGGAACACATATTAAACGTACATGAGACCACTGACAAGCCCATTTCTCCTCGTTTTACAAGCAGTGATGAAGAATCACTGGAGAAATGGATTTCTCCAAATAGCATGTCAAATTTTGCCTGTCAAGAAGAAAATTTGCAAATGAAGTATCAGTGGGAAGCCAGAGCTGTGCTTTCTGTGTACGCCATCACATGAAAGAATCTCCCCAAAACACTCTGGTCTTGTTTCTCTCCTCTGAGACCTCTCTATTCTTCTCATTCACTTTGTAGATATTTTTTCTCTTATGACCCTCGGCTATTTTCAAAGAACCACGCTGAGAAAGATCAGCTTAAATGACAAACAGATAGCTAACGGGATGAGCACGTAGGCTGGCGTTACGTAGACATATCACCAGAATGATTGACAGTTAGTAGGACCCCTTATTTAGATGATCCACTGGGAAAAATTACCGCTCACATCCCCACCATGGACTGTTTTCCCTGCTGCCCTCTGGGAAGAGCTAAAGTGCCGGATGCAGCTGCAGCGCCGTGAGTTGCCGAACCCTGATCTAGGGTCCCCATTAAAGGTATAGAGCACAATCTTTTATTTCTGGGTGCATCATCTAATTAAGTGGTCGTCCTAATTGTCAATCATTGAGGTGATATGTTTACGTAAGGCCGTCCTACGTGCTCGTCCCCAGTTAGGTATCTTTTTCTGCGCAGGTGCACTTTCAAGCGTATATCTGTGGTGAGCTATGGTTTCTGACAGTCATTGAAGTTCACCTTTCTCACCACAGTTCTTTGAAAATGGCTGAGGGTCGTATGTCTGAGAAATGTATGAGAAGAAAAGAAAAGCCTCGGAAGAGGCAGCTAAATCCCGGAATGCTTTGTGCTCTCCTAGTAGTATTATGGGATTAGCTGTCACAGTGGCCTGTTGTCGCCATAGGCAGTCTCTACCAGAGAGCGGCGACCAGTAGCAAAATGCCGCAGGTACCACACAGTGGAGGAGGAGTCACATGACCAACGGTGAGCAAACACCAGTGATCATCTGTCCAAATGGCCAGTTATGCCAGGTACTGCCAGTCCCATTAACTCCTGCAAAGTTAACTCTGAGGATACTTTGAGGATACGCTGGGGGAGTGAACGCTGGCACGACTTGCTGCCGCTGCTCGCCGGTATTTTTGTATTCGTTGCTCACTGCCTTCGCTCACCGGTAACTTTTAAACTTTTTTACTTTCTAACGGACAGTCTAATTGTTTTTACTGGGATTGTTTTTACTGGGAATACGACCACGATTCGTCAGCACTACAGGACTGTGTGAGTCCCAACTAGGCTACTACCAGTAGCTCACCTGTCCTGCCTCGTTTTCAGCCTCACCTGGCGTTTTTAATAATGTGGACCGGCAGGAAATACACCCTGCTTGTCTGTATCTGGATATTCCTACTGCCCGCTCACCTGCAAGTGGCGGGTTTGCTGCAGTATTCACCCGCTGACCTGCTCCGGCTCCGCTGTCACTCCCTTGGACCTGCGCCCGAGGCTCTCCACCTTCACCCGGACATCACCTTCCAGCCACGTCGGAGATACATCCACCGAGGTTCCCGTCGGATTGTCCACCGCAACGGTTCAACAGCAATAAAATCCATCTGGTCCAGCTCCCGACGGTGGATTCGTCGCCCTCCATGCTCCACCAGCCGGGCTGTCGACCACAGCGTGTTAGCCCGCCTAGCTCGGTCGGCTAGCACCACCACCAGCTGCGACAACAACGCACTCAACTTTGCTCTGCTCAACATCCGTTCACTGACAAGCAAGGGACATCTCATTCAGGATCTCATCACTGACCGTAAACTGGACTTTCTCTGCTTAACCGAGACCTGGCAACAGCCCCAAGATTACTCTCAGCTCAACGATTCCACTCCTAGTGGGTTTGTTTACATCTCTCAACCCCGTGGTTCCGGTCGCGGAGGAGGTCTCGCGATAATTCATCGCGAGAATTGGAAAGTCTCGCCGGTATCAGCTCCAGTTTCAAGCACGTTTGAATCCACAGTCTGCAAGCTATCTGGTCCAACTCCAACCATCATTGCTGCTGTCTACCGCCCCCCAAAACCGAATAGTGCCTTTTTAACTGAGTTTGCTGATTTTCTCACCCACCTATCCTCTCTCTCACCAAACTTAATTCTGCTGGGTGATTTCAATATCCACATGGACAACACCAATTCGCCTCTTACCAAAGACTTTACTTCCTGCCTAGAGAGTTTTGGATGTCAGCAATACACCACTACCCCCACACACACCAAAGGACATATTCTGGATTTAATCTGTTGCTCTGGTGTCATCCCCCACAACATAACATCTGATGAACTCCCCATAAGTGACCATTTTCTCCTCTCATTTGCAGTTAATCTTACTCTCTCAGTCTCTAAAACATCCCGCCTCATATCCTTCCGGAACATAAAGAAAATTGATCCCTACACCCTTATTTCAAGTATCCACTCATCCTGCCTCCTTGACTTCAATAATCTACTAACCCCTGATGATCTGGTTTTTCATTACAACACTGGTCTCCATAATATTCTTGACTCACTTGCTCCTCTAAAAAATAGATTTGTTTCTTTCTCTGTCTCCTCCCCCTGGTACACCCCAAATCTCAGAAACATGAAAACCAAAGGACGGCAACTTGAAAGACTTTACAGAAAAACTGGTCTTACTATACACAAAGAAATGTACAATAATCACATTATGCACTATAAGGACTCCATTGCCAGCACCAAATCACAGTACTACTCCAACTTAATCACTGCCAATCAACAGAGCTCTAAGTCACTTTTCTCTATACTTAACAATACCATCAAACCCCAGGACCCTTTCCCCCTGCACCTTTACACAACCTCCTTCTGCAATGACATCATGTCATACTTCACAGAAAAAATCAAGAACATTCACCAGAACCTTGGATCAACGGCTCATCTCAACAACTCAGCAGATCTCCCCCCGCCTACACATTTATTCTCCTCCTTCCATCCTCCCACTGTCTCGGAAATCACAGAGCTCATCCGGAAATCCAAATCATCCACCTGTCAATTGGACCCCCTCCCAACACAACTTGTCAAAACCTGCCTTCCCTCTCTGGCTCCCCTCATCTCCGCTATCATCCACTCCTCCCTCACCACTGGAACTGTCCCTACACCTCTCAAAACTGCTGCCATCACCCCGATTGTAAAAAAACCTGGTGCCGACCCCACCAACTTCAACAACCTCCGTCCTATCTCCAATTTACCCTTCATCTCCAAAATTCTTGAAAAAACAGTTGCCTCCCAACTCCATTCTCACCTATGTGCCAACAGCCTGTATGAAGAATTTCAGTCTGGTTTCCGGCCACTCCATAGCACTGAAACAGCACTCATCAAAATCACCAATGACCTCCTCATGGCATCTGATTCTGGACTACTCACCATCCTCATCCTCCTCGACCTGAGTGCAGCCTTCGACACCATCTGTCACACCACCCTCCTCAGTAGGCTTTCTTCCATTGGCATCACGAGCACTCCGTTGGACTGGTTTATTTCTTATTTTTCTGATCGCACTCAGTTCATTCAACTGAAGACCCTCAAATCCACCCCCTCCCCCGTCACCTCAGGTGTGCCCCAGGGCTCTGTTCTGGGGCCTCTGCTCTTCATCATCTACCTCCTTCCCCTTGGCAATATCTTCCGTAAATTCAACATCCACTTCCATTGCTATGCTGATGACACCCAGCTCTACCTCACCACGCAGCCATCGTCCTCTCTTCCGCCCACCTCCCTCAGAAATTGCATCTGTGAATTAAAGGCCTGGTTCACCAACAACTTCCTTCAATTAAAC